AAAAAAAAAAAAAAAAAAAAAAAAAAAAAAGGATATCAGCTACCACCCCTCCTGTTCAACACAATACTCAAAACCAGAGTAATCAGGCAAGGGAAAGAATTAAAAAAGAGACATGTATAAGAAAGAAGTCAAATTATCACCATTTGCAGATGACATATCCTCTACATAGAAGGCCCAAAATATCCTACCAAAAGTCCTAGAATATCCAAATTCAGCAGTGTAGCAGGATCAAAATCAACACATAAAAAAATCAATACCATTCCTGTACACTAGTAATAAATTCAGTGAGAAAGAAATTAGGAAAATAATACCATTCATAATAACACAAAGAAAAATTAACTACTTAAGAATTAACCTAACCAAGGAAATGAAAGACCTCTACAGTGAAAACTACAGCAATTTGAAAAGGGAGATTGAAGAAAATGTCAGAAAATGGAAAGAAATCCCATGTTCCTGGATAGGCAGAACCAATATTGTCAAAATGGCCATACTTCCAAAACTGATATAAAAATTTAACATAATCCCAATCAAAATACCTACAGCATTCCTCACAGAGCTGGGGAAAATAATTCTAAAATTTGTATGGAACCAGAAGAGATCCAGAATGGCAAAAGGAATCCTGGGTAATAAGTGCAAAGCAAGAGACATCACAATACCTGACTTTAAATTATACTATAAAGGTACACTGATAAAAACAGCATGGTGTTGGCACAAAAGCAGACATGTAGCTCAGCAGAACAAAACACAGGACGTGGAAACAAGCCCAGACACATTCAGCTACCTGATCTTTGACAAAGGGGCCAAAAACATACACCTGAGTAAAGCTAACTTTAGCAAATGGTGCTGGGAAAACTGTCTATTGACATGCAGAAGCTTGAAGCTAGAATCATATACCTAACCCTGTAGTAAACTAAACCAAAATGGATCAAAGATCTAAATATTAAAACAGAAACATTTAACCCACTGGAAATAAAATAGGTAAAATTCTTGAAATCATAGGTGTAGGCAAGAACTTTCTGAACAGAACCTCAACTGCCCAAGAAATAATAGCAAGAGTTAACAAACGGGATTATAGCAAATTAAAGAGCCTCTGGACAGCAAAGCAAACAACTAAAAAAGTGAAGAAACAACCTACAGATTGGGACAACACTTTTGCCAGCTACATCTTAGACAGAAGCCTAATATCTGGATTACACAAAGAACTCAAGAGAAATGACATACTTCCCCCAAAATAAAAGACCCAATGAAAACATGGGGGAACTGCAATGAACAGACATTTCCTAGAAGAAATACAAACGCCCAATAAATACACGAAAAAAATGTTCAACTGGCTATCAGAGAAATGCAAATTAAAACAACGCTGACATGGGGTCTTAACTCCAGAAAGAATGGCTATCATCAAGAAATCAAATAATAATACACGCTGATGAGGCTACGGTGGAAAAGGAACCTTCCTCCATTACTGGTGGGAATTGTAAACCAGCACAACCATTATGGAAATCAGCATGGAGAGCCTCAGGAAATTAAAACAAGACATTCCACTTGACCCAGTGGTTCACCTTCTAGGTATCTTCCCAAAAGAGTTAAAGACATCAAATTACAGCAATATGCCTGTTTATAACAGCATGATTCACAATAGCTAAATCTTGGAAGCAGTCTATATGTCCATCAACAGACAAATAGCTAAAGAAAAGGTATTATCTATACATCATGGAATACTACTCAGTTATAAAGAAGGATAGAGACATTTGTAGGAAAACAGATGTACCTTGAAAACAATAATGTTAAATTCTTTATATATTCCAGTACAAGCTACAACATGGATGAACCCTAAAAACGTGCTATGTGCCAGGAGCCACACAAAAGGGTGACACTGTGGGACCGGACCCCATCTATATAGAACATCCAGAGTGGGAAAACCAGTGGCAGGAAAGTTCTTTAGTGGTCGCCAGGGAGGATGGGGAAGGGGCTGCTAATGGCTGTGGGGGTCTTCATCTTTTGCTTTTTGAAGAGTGGTGATGAAAATCTAGAATAGCAGTAAGTTATACATATAGTAAAAACCCCTGAACTGTACACTTTAAAATGGCAAATCTTATGGTATCTGAATTATATCTCCTTTTAAAAAAACTATATAATTAAAAGATGTGTCAGAAGTAAAAGAAGAAACCGATCTACAGAGTTGGGGGATTTCCTCCCTGGGTCCCTGATACAACAAAGAAGCCAAAATCAGTGCGGGTAGAGATTTGGACAGCATGATTAAAAACCTAGTTACGTGCCTACAGCTATATCTGGTTATGCACACCTGTAATCCCAACTGCTCAGTAGGCTGATGCAGGAGGATGGCAAACTCAAGATCAGCCTGGACAATTCAGCAAGACTCTGTCTCAAAATAAAAATACTAAGGGCTGGGGACATAGCTCGGAGCAAAGGCCTTGGGTTCAATTCCCAGTATAGAGGAAAAAAAAAGGGGGACCTGTGCTTACAGACACAGGCAGAAAACCACATCCAGCAGCTAAGATGAAGGGCTGCCACAGAGTAGCGCAGTGACTGCACACACATGCTTAGCATCAAAAGGTCCTTGGCTCCATCTCCAGCACTGCAAAAAATAAGTCTGACGTTTTTTTCATTTTGAAAATATTTTCTTTTCTATTTTATTTATCAGTACATAGTTGCAGTACAGACTGTCTGCATTCCTGGTGTGAAGTTGTACACGTACATAACACATCTTAATTCCTTTTTTCACCCTCTCCCTCCATCTCCTGACTCCCTCCCCATCTCTGAGAAAGATCTGTGTCTTTATCTCCTAGTAGCTAACTTTTACTTTACTATTTGTATTTGCAGTGTCTCATGTAAAAGAATCCACACAGTATTTAAGCTTGAGTGTCTGATTTATTTCACTTAACATTGTGGCCTCCAGATGCATCCACTTTCATACAAAAGACTCCAGTTCATCCTTCTTTACAGCAAGAGTAGTACTTTGTTGTGTAAAATGCCACTTTTTTTTTTTTTTGGTACCGGGTATCCAACTTGCGACTTTGCGAGGCAGGCAGCACAACCACTGAGCTACGTCCCCCGCCCTGCGTTTTCTTTATCCGTGCATGCGCTGATGGAATAACGACTGAATTCAAGACAAAACCGCTTGAGCCTTTGCTCTGGCCATAGCAGGAGCCGGCTGGGTGGTTTGTGCTTCACCACTTCCATCACTCCCCCTTGTCACCGCATCCCCTCAGGAGATGCAGAAATCGGGGTACAGGAGGTACAGAGAGGGGGAGCACCCAGCCCAAAGCTACCAGATTGCTCCTGACCTCCCTCTTTGCCATCACTCGGTATTAAACTCAATACTTTTCTAGAGATTTGACTAGAATCTTGATTCCTAGAGAAAAAGAAACTACAGGACTGGAGTAACTGGATCTGAGATGGACATCAACAGAAATAGACAGGCACCCACCATCTACAACAGTGAGGGCTTTATCTGTTTAATAGCAACAGTTTGTTGAACTATTATTCAAACTGGAAGTCTCAAGCAATGTGGACATTTTTACATCAATCTCCCCAACCTGCCTTCAGTCCCCTGAAGAAGGCCAAGACCGGTGCCAGGAAGCAGCAGGCCTTGGACTGGGATAACTAGGACTCTGGAACCCAAGCAGTGACAGCCTCCACTGCGGTGCCACATTGTTGCGCTGTCTCCAAAGCCACGGGGTCTCTGATGGATACAGCTGAGGACAGATTACACGCCTCAGACAGCTGATCTTCACAGCACCCTTGGGAAGCAGGTGGCGCACGGATCACAAGGATTTTATAAACGAGGACACTGAGGCACGCATGCAAAGAAAGACAGGTATGTTGTGGGCAAGCCCCGCCTGCCCCACACACCCGGGGTGGGGAGAACATCAGCAATTCTAAAGAGAGAAAAAACAGAAAAGAACACATCCAGGCCTCCATGAGCTGACCTCGAGATTGAAAAACTGCTGCTTTGTCATTTAACAAACGCATTTTTATTCTCTTATTATAGTTACAGGGATTTATGGTTGGGATGATAAATACAGGCTTCTACCAGGAACATTCTCATCAACATTTCCTCAGTGTCCTGAGGGCCTTCGTAAATAATTTCACTGAGGAAAGCTTCCCTGGAACTTGGCTGAGGGCGATGCCTGTAACAACCATTTCCAGGTGCTGCTCTGTGTACACGACCCCTCTTCTCTGGCACAAGGATGACGTCAGCTTTGCCTCACACAGAGCAAGATCTCTGCAGTGAGACATTTCAACTTCACCAGATCCACACTATAAAGGAGTAAACTGACACTCAGAGAGGGTAAGGGACTTGTCCAGGTTACACAGCTAGGAAGCAGAAAATCTGGGACAAGAATCCAGGTCTCCTGCTAGCTAAGCCAGTGTTCTATTCAACAGCACATAAGGCCCGTGGCAAGGAGGTGGCCTCTGCACGTAGGTAATGCTGCAACAGAAAGCAGCTTTCTAGCTTTCTGGAAATTACTAGAACTTTGGCCCTGGAAGGACCCTTAAGAATCATCCAATCCACCATCATGAAGATGGGCAAACTAAGGGCCAGCCAAAGAAAGCAACTTGCCAAAAGTTACACAGCTGAGAGTAGAAGAGCAAGACCAGAATGCAGGTCCATCCTAACCCAGGTCTCATCAGTCAGCTGGACATGGAGAGCAATGTGAGGACGCTACTATAAGGACAGCAAAGCAATCAGTCCATGGGGTTCTTCCCACTTAGCAGGGCTAGACCTCAGGGAGTTTACAATCTGGCTAGGAAAACAGGCATGGATGTGAAGAGGGAAACAGGACCAGTAACCAAAACATCAGTGCACATAGCAACAACTGTAACAAGAACTTAAGAGTTGGCAGTGAGCAGCAGGGCAGCTGTGCTGGAAGAATTCCTGAGGGAGGGATAAGGAAAGATGGGACTCAGGCATGAGTAAGAGTCCAACAGAGAGAAAAGAAGAAATGCGTCAGTTCAGGAAAGACTCGACAATCAAGAGGTCTTGCGGGAGACGATGGCAAAACTGTAGGTGAAGGTTGGGTCCTGGGGCTTGAAGCCTTCAGTGTCAGGCCATGGCTTTGTAACTCAGGCCTAGGAACTCCAGGTCGTCAAACTTTTGGGGGAGCAGAACCCCTGGAGGTCTCAGAGCTCTTCACAGAATTCCAGGAGCGACTGGAACAATGGGACAATGACCGATCATCGTGACAGGAAGATCAGTATCAGAAAACACACCTAGTGTTTTACATCTGCCGGAGAAAACCACAGCCAAAGCATCCGTGTCTTTGAAGGAACAGTCCTCAACTCAAACAGGATCGATCCAGCTGCTGCAAATACTCTTATTAGCGGTCTCCTCCTTGGTCTGCCACAGTCGCCCATCTTCCACACCTGTCTCTGGAGCCCGGGGCTGGCCTAAGAGCCCAGGCACCACTGCTGTTCACAAAATGTGGGGGAGAGCAGGCTAAGGAGGGGAGACATCCTGAGACTCTGCTTCTTTTCTGCAGACCGGAGAGAGGCAGTCCTACAACTTGCAAGGTCAGAGGCGAAGCCTAAACAGCAGTGCTTTCCCTGATCCTCAGCTTCCTCGTCTGATATGAAGGTGCTGGAGAGAGGAGACCAAACTTTGGATGCCAGACGGGCCCTGCCAGGCCACCTTCACGTGTCCTGGGCTCTGTGGGCAGTGAAAAGGGTGAGGGATTGACCTCTCCCTCCATGGCTGAAGCTCTATGCAGCACAGAAAGAGGATGCGGGTGGGACCAGCTCAACAACCATCAGCCTCAGCAAAGCCCAGTGGGCAGCACGGGATCCTGTTGAGACATTTCTGTGCAGGGTCCTGGCATGGGCACAACATCCCTGTGGCAGGTGTCATGACACCCTTGGGAGCACTCTCGGCCGCTCATCTCCTGGCCTGGAACTCGCCATGGGCCATCTCGAGCTCCAGGAACCTCCCCTACTTCTCAGTCTTGGAGGATGATAAAGACTTCTGTCCCTAGGTCACCTGTTCAGGAAATGGCAGCATCCCGGGCCCAGGATATGCGCTTCTATGAGCTGGCAAGGGCACGGAATGCTTGCAGAGTCCATGTGCCGGGTCCCCACTGCCTGAGGGAGCTGGGAGGTCACTAGAAGCCGGATGTAGTAGCCACCAAATACCGAGAGCAGCTGCTGCGCCATTTCCTGGAAGAGGCAGGGAAGCAGAGTGAGGCAACCAACATGAGGCACCTGGAGGACAGTGCAGCTTAGGCAGGAGAGACAGCATGCTGTCGTCCTGCCCCTGGCCCAGGACTGATGTCACTAAGAAGAACCAGGCTAGGCCAGCAGCTGGGGCTCTGGGAAGAACCCAGCCTAGTCTAGAAGCCCAGCTCTGCAACTCCATGGCTCTAAGCACATGCAACCTACTTCTTCAGACCCAAGTAGGGAAACTAAATGCTGCTTGGTAATAGCAGGGTGTGACTCAGTGGTAGAATAAGGGCTTCACATGCAAGAAGCCCTGGGTTCAATCCCCAGCACCACTAATAATATGCACAAAATGCTATGTAACCTCAAAGCACTACAGAAATTACCAGTGCCACACACACACACACACACTTTTTTCATTTTCAAACACAGAAGCTACTTGTGTTGGTAGAGTTAGTAATTATAAAAAAATTTAGAAGGCCAAGAGGAGCTGGTTGTGGTAGCACATGACTGTAATGCCAGCCCTCTGGGAGGCTGAGGCAGGAGGACCACAAGTTTGAGCCCAGCCAAGGCAACTAAACAACTTACTGAAACCCTGTCTCAAATATAGAAAAATACAAAGAGCTGGGGATGAAGCTCAGTGTACAGGCTCTGCTTCAATCCCCAGGAACACACACATACACACACACACACACACACACACACACACACACACAGCAAAGTGGGAGCTCCAGCTCATCCACTCTGCAGCTGGCCCTGAACAAGTCATTTCACACCCCCGCACCTGTCTTCACAGATGACCCCAGAAAACAGCAGCAGGCACCATACTGAGATGGGTGAAAATGGCAGAAGCAGAGCGATAGAAAGCACTAGTCCAATGCCTGGTGCTCAATAAGTCTCAATAACATCACCATTATTATCATGATTATCATTATTATTAGTATTCACAAAAACAGAAACTGGGCGTGATTCATAGGACTAGTTTTTGTTTTGAGCTGTCCTTTAAGTTCTAAAATATTGAAAATTTGAAATAGTCTACCACTCACTAATTCAGATTGGTCCCCTCACCAACTTAGTCTGAAATCAACAAGAAGAAGCAAAGAACTGTAGCAGGAACCAGCCTGCTAAGAGCCAGCAGGGCTGGCTTCTACCCTTGGCTTTGCCACATTCTCCCTCCATGTGTGGCTGAGGGCAAGGCAGCTGACCTCTTAGAACTTGATTTCACCCATCAAAGAAGGGACAGCCATCCACACCACAGACGGTTTGCTGAAGAATTTGATGCCAGGTGAAAATCTGTAAAAACCTATAACTATATCTTTCACAGGCATGGGACTCTGATGGAACAGGAGCGTCTGTCCGTGCCAAGCTGAGGGCAGTGACTGCGTTTGCCTCGCTAAAGGATAACGGTAGCTGCTTTAACAATATGCGCACATACTTGATATTCATAATGGGAAATTGTATGCCCATTGGTTTGAATGAATTTGGAAAAACAATTGAAAAGACCCACATCTAAGAGGCTACTATAAACCCAGACAAGCACGCCACAGTAAAATACATGACCTTATCAGTCTTTTCTGCTCTTTAAATAAAAAAGAAGGAAATGGGATGCAAGAGATTACTACATTCATCATTTTCTCTGTTAAACAGTTCTATTGGCAGCCCTCCCTCTCCCCAGCAGTGCAAACAAGGCAATTCTGGGCTAGTTTGGACATTAGATCTCCAAGGCTGTTGGCAGAAAAGAAAATACAAGTGACCTCTTCAATTCCAAGCCACTCCTTGCTGCTCAACTCCATGACGGAGGGTCTGCCCTCATGGCTTAAAGAATGCAGCATGAGCAGCAAAACACATTATCAGATTTCTGGTTTACCAGCAATTAATGAGACCCAACAGGCAGCTAGAGTGGACAGAAGGACTAGAATTCAAGAGAATTCTAAGAATCATATCAGAGCTAAATATCTAATTGCTACTTAATTCTACAGATGAATGGATGGCTGGACAGACGGCTGATCAGTTGATTGGTAAATTGATTTTAAGATCAAATGAGTCATCATTACTGGTGAAGTGAGCTATAAACCATCAAAGTAGCTATCCATTGTAACTATCAAAAAAGAATACCTAAACCGGGCGTGGTGGTGCACGCCTGTAATCCCAGCACTTGGGAAGCTGAGGCAGGAGGATCATTGAGTTTGAGACCAGCCTGGGCTACATAGTGAGTTCCAGGTCAGTGAGACCCTGTCTCAAAAAAAAAAAAAAAAAACTAAGATATTTTAGAATGCAACAAAAATCCTAAAATAAAATAATTTCTATAAACTACTTGTAAAAGCGTTGAGGTGAACAAAAAGAAGATTGAAAGTATGATCTGTAAGATCCAGATGGTCTCCACTACCTCAGAGAAACCATGAACACAGACGTCTGGGCAGCTGCCACACGCAGAAGGACCCATTACCTGCGGCTCAGCCTCGGGCACAAGCTGGAACAGCTCAGTCTGCAGGACTGGCCTCTCCTGAGGACTGGTCTCTCTGCTGGGCAGGAGAGGAGCATCCTCCAGGTCTCCAGGTCCCTCCGGCACTGCGGGGCTCACCCCTGTCTCTATGACAACACACAGCTGGCTCAGTCTGCTTCTCAGCAAGGACTGCAAAGGAAACAGAAGGGCATAAGTGTGTCCTACACTGGACAGGACTGGGAGGTGTATGACTCTGAGCTGCAGATGCAGAGGAAGGTAGCTCCAGATACCGACTTCAGCAAAACCTCAGAAGCATCTGAAATGGACCCATATCACTGGGGCACATTATTCCCTACAAGAGCTTCCAAAGGTCCATAAGAGCTTCTGAAGGAATTTTCCTTCTAGGCTCTCAGTAACTAAGTCAGCTAAGCAGCCTTCGATTTTTTTCAATGACCTTTTAAAGGTTTGGTTTTTTTTTTACTATGAAAATTTCTAAACAGATACAGCCTAGCTGGCAGCTACCCATCATCCTGCTTCAACTATTGCCACCTCACGGCCACTCGTTTCTTCTCTACCTTCTGAATAAACGTCAGAAAGGCACTTTGAACACCAGGCACAATGGCACATGCCTCTAGTCCCAGCTGCTTTAGAGTCTGACGCAGGAAGATCCTAAATTTGAGGCCAGCCTGGGCAACTTAGCAAGCCCTTGTCTCAAAGTAAAAAGAGCCAGGAACGTAGCTCAGCAGTAGACCAACTGTGAGCCCTGGGTTCAATCTATAGGACCTCAAAAATAAAGATTCTCTGGACATGTGAATATTGTCTAATACGTTATACTTTTGGATCTGCCAGAGTTTATCACTAGTGCAAAAATTACAAGCTCACTGCAAGAACTGTAGAAGGTGTTATTAGATAAAAAGCAGAATAATAACAGTCCCTAGATAGAGCAACCACTGGTTCCTAGATAGAGCATTCTTTCCTCCAAGTAACTTTTCTTAACACTTGGCCAAGAAGCGATGCAACTCTTTCTTAGATATTTTTCCAACATCACGGTAATGCAACTTATACCAACTGGCCTGATTTATCCTGCTGTCCTTTTTTCACTTATGATATCTTACCTCTTGGTTAGTTTTCATTTCTTGAACACAGTCGGACAGAAACTGCACGCAGTTCTCCAGGTTGAAATAGACAAACCAGAGCTATGGAAAGAAGCAGCAGCCAGGGCCAGAGGCTCAGCACCAGCCCAGCCTCAACCTCCCCATCCACGTCCATCCTTCCCCTCTTTCCCTCCCAGGAGCCCGCCCTTCTCGGGATGGCTCCATATGTCCTTCTGTCTGGCAGGAACTGGCCACTCTGCTCTCTCCCAGAGCTCCACACTAAACCCAGGTCATCTGTGCAGAAAACGGCTTTGTGTGCAAATTTAGAAGATGTTCAACCCAGCTGGGCAGTGGAGATACATGCCTGTAGTCCCAGCTCTCTGGGACGTTGAGGCAGGAGGATCACACGTTTGATCCCAGCCTGGGCAACTCAGCAACTTAGCAACGTCTTATCTCAAAATAAAAAATTAAAAAGGGCTGGATGCAGATCAGTGTGAAGGTCCTAGGTTCAATCCCTAGAACCACCAAAAGAAAAGTCCACTACCATACAAATGGCCAAAATGGTCCCATGTCCCACCCATCACTGGACAGACTCCAGGACACATGGAGTCCAGACAGACTCCAAATATCTGGATATCATGCATCCCCCTTGGGCGGGGTGGGGGGCACCATCTCCATCCTCAGTGGCCAGGGTATCTGTCAGAAGCCCAAACACACAAATGAGCGAAGCCCTTCAAAAGCGACACCTCCCGGGCCCGAGGCAATAGACTTGGGTGTTCTTAGGGCTGGGGATTTAGCGCAGTGGTTCTGCTGCTTGTTTCCCAAGTATAAAATCTGGAGTTCCGTCCCGATACCAAAAGAAAAAGACTTGGGTGCTCTTCCAGGAAAGAAATCTTCATCCCACCCTTACCTTCCCTCTGCCTCAACTGAACAGCCCCTGGGAGGCCAGGTTAAATTCAGCCAGACTGAGGCCCTCCGTGTTTACACATCATGGCCCTGGGGACGCCACACATCAACACTGAAGTTCTGCAGGACAGTGACGTCCCTGGTCTTACACCTTCGCCCCACTGACACCTCCTCTTCCCAATGCCTGATCCACAAGACTCAAGGTCCTGTCCCTCTTGCCAGCTGTCTCTCCCACTGTCTGCTCCCCATCCCCAGGGCAAGATTTTTTTCAAATGACCTTTGAAAGGCCTTTTACTAGGAAGATTTCCAGACGGGCCCCCTGCAGGGCACCTCGATATCTTCAGTGCCCATCAGCGGGCTCAGCACAGAAAAGGCATCCCAAGGAAAAAGCACAGGAGCAGGGAGGTGGAGGGGGATTCTGACAGCCTTCCCATCCGCAGACTCCTGGACGCGTGGTGTGGAGGGAAAATGCAAGACCACCTGTCGTCAGGGACCCAGCCCAAATGTGGGTCATCAGGGATAGGTGGCTTCCAGACACAGTACCTGGATCACACTCTGGCAGCCTTCCACAGTGTCTGTCACCCCCAGCAGCACCCGGTGTCTCAGGAGGGTTCTGTTGGCAGCTGCCAGCCTTAGATCCGTGTTAGTGTTGGCCTGTAAGACAAAAGTCACGCTGCCAAGGAACTCCTGGGCCACATACTGTCCCACCCTCTAGACGGTATGCAGCAACCCTTCCATTTCCCCCACTGTGGTAAACTCAGTACTATCAGACAGCCTTGGACGAAGCCCAGCTCTGTGTTTCCTGGCTGCGTGGTCCTGACCAAGGTATGTCCATCTCTAGCCTTGTCCCCAGTTGTAGAGTAAGAACAAAGAGTGCCCCTGCCCCCGGGACTGAGATTTCACTGGATCGTGTATGGAGTACTTGATCCAGAGCTGGAACACAGTTGGGGTACAACAGACGTTTGTGGGAGTTGGGGGAACAGATGGGGCTGTGCCCCCACAGTAAAGGAAGTACGCACTCTGTCTATAAAGGGCCTAGTTTATAGTCTGCTGCAGCACAGCACCTGTCCTCAGAAGGGCTGTTTCCTTCTGTTCCCACCCACACCAACCTCTGCCGTGTGTACAGCAGACAGAGGAGACGCCAAGGAGGCCAGGGAGTGGGAGAGCGAAGGTGTCCCAACCCAAAGGGCTGGTTTGGGGAAGAAACCATAGGGTGGGCAGCCTTCAGGTACAGTTAGAAAACAACCCATCAAGGGGAAGGGTTCTCCCAAGGGACAAGACCCACAAAGGGAGGGTTCCGAGGCCTCTTCCATAGTCACAGAAATGGGACAGTCAACAGTGCCACGCAATGGAGGAGACCAAGGGTGCTGACCATGCGCCTCCCAGGCAAGCAACCCCACCTGTCAAGGAACTGTCCCCTGGCCCCAGAGCACAAGCATGCAGATGAAAACTCTACTAAGAATTTTCTAATTGGCCAACCTAACTCCATTTTACACATTGGCCTAACCCATTTTTTGTTTTTATGACACAGATTTAGTGTGCCCTGAATATTCCAGGAAAGCCACTCTTATGAAATTGGCTAAATTCTGTCTTAAGGGTGCTCACCCTTTCAGAAACCCATTCAACAACAGTACGAGTCCTGACCCTGCCTCCTAGCACCCTCTAACCTCTCTGCCTCCCACAGTGGAGATGCTAACGCCTCTACCTAACAGGTGACATGGATGAAGCCAGCTAATCCACACAGGAGATGCAGCAGCCCGGGCACTCAGCACATGTCACACAGGCTGTCACCATGATGGCAGAACTGGGCTAAAAACACTGTATTTGCCACTGTGCCACACCCTCCACAAACAAATATTTTTAGGACCTTCCCTAGCAGTGTAACCTGTAGGGGACACCGGCAGAGTCTCACCAACTTACACAAACCCTTTGATCGGGAGAAAGAGTGCTTGCTAAGGGTCTCAGAGCCCAGTACTGCACAGTGTAGGCACAGGAGCTTCTCAAGTCGCTGCAAAGACAGCGTCAGTGTGCTAAGCAAAATAATGGTCCCAAGGACACCCCAGGCCTATTCCCTGGACCTGTGACTGTGTTGTAAAACATGCATAAAGTGGTAGATAGAATTAACGCTGCGACTCACTGACCTCAAAATAGGAAGATTACCTCAGACTTTGCAGCTGCCATAATGTATACACAGGGTCCTTAAAAGTACAGAGCAGGGCATGATGGCACAGGCCTGTCCTCCCATCCCTCTGGGAGGCTGAGGCAGAAGGACTCCAAATTCAAGCCCAATCTGGACAATCTAGTGTATTATGGAGACCTTGCCTCAAAATGAAAACCAGTACTCCAAAAAAAAAAAAAGTGGCTAGGACACACATGTGAAAATACCGAATAGTTTCTCTGGTGTGAGAAACTAAAAGTGTAAATAAGGCTCAAAATGTGTAATTGATAATGTGAAAAAGGAAGAAAAGGTCTAAAGGGGTAGGAAACATGAGAGGGGTAGGGGAAAGGAAAGAGTGAAAACAAAGTCTTTGTAAACAGGGAGAGATGGAGGGGTTGAAGGGAGGGCAAGAGAATGGGGAAAAAATAAGAACCAAGATACGTCATATAAGGGTGCAAGATCCCAGCAATGAATGTAACTCTACTGTGTACCTAACATGTGCCGATAATCTTAATGAAAAAAAAAAATTGGAAGAGAGGCAGAAGAATCAGAGCTGGAGAGGTAGGTGTGAAAAACACTCAGGAAGGAGGAAGGGCAACAAGCCAAGGAATGCAGGCACAGGAGCCGCCAGAGGCCGAGATGCAGCTTCTCCCCACGGCCTGCAGAAAGAACACAGCCCTGCCTACACCTCAATACCAGCACAAGGAGGGGGACCCAGGAGACTCTTAGCCACACGAAAGGGAGGTGTTAAACTTGTGTGGTTTTAAGCCACTGCGTTTACGCTATCATGTTACAGCAGCTTCTAAAGTCAGCTGGGATTAAATGAGGCAAGGCTGTCAGAAGCACCAGGTCGGCACCCCACGCCCTCCTCCACTCCCCACCCCTCACTTGCCCATCCCTCTGCCCAGTCACAAGGGAGAACAGCACACATCTGCTCTCCCAACCTAACCTTCAATGGCTTATAGGACTATCGTGAGACCCAGGGAGAGGTGTGTCAAAGGCTCAGCTAACCGAAGTGCTATGGGTGCCCTCCTTGCACACTGTCTTTCTTTTTTTGTTTTTCTGAGACAGGGTCTCACTATGTAGTTGAGACTGACCTGGAATTCACTATGTAGTCCAGGCTGGTATCAAACTCACAGTGATCCTCCTGCCTCAGCCTCCCGAGTGCTGAGATTACAGGTGTGCGCCACCATGCCCAGCCTGCACACTGTCTCTTGAAACAGCTTGCTTCCAGAGGAAACAACCCACAGGACGCTGGGTGTGGTGGTGCACATCTGTAATCCCAGCATGCTGGAGGCTGAGGCAGAATAGCAGTGAATTTGAGACCCACCTGAGCTACACTGTGAGACACTGTCTCAAAAAAATAAATAAGTAAAAATCAATTCATAGGGATTAGGTACAAGAAAAACAAAAAAGACTTCTCTGTTGCTCCTGGGACATGAGGCAGTGGCTTTGCCACACCATGGGCTGCCACCAGGACAGGATGTATTGCCACGGCCTCCAAAGCAACAGGGCCAACAGAACATGGACTGAAACTTCTAAAACTGTGAGTCAAACACAAAGCCTTTCTAAGAGATTGAGATGCAAAGAGAGAGAAATTTAATCATGCACATGATTTGACTTAAGTCTCTAGGCACATGGATTGGGCTGAATTTTGATGGTTGGAGGAATTCTTTGAGGCAAGCAAGAGGATCGGTATTGTAGGCCCCCACGGCCCTTCCCCGGTAGCATGGCAGGAGCCCCTGGACATCTCACCTTCCTCTGGTGCCTCTCAAAGACAAGCACCAGTGTCAGCGTCAGGCTCACTGCAGCCAGGGTCACCAGAAGCACGCCCACCCAGTGGTGGCCCAGGGCAAACAGCTGGCTGGTGGAGTAGATATTGGCCCAAACCACGACATAGAAGACCTGCAAGGAGCCGGGAGAGAACAGTCAGGAACATTAGCTGCATTCAAAGGGACACCCTGTGGACAACAGCCCACCAGCCTCCTGGTCCCAACAGGTCACAGCACCAAGAGGCCTACGCAACACTGTGTCTGTGGGCATGAGTCAAGTTCTCGGTTTATAATATAAGCAGAAGTTGAGGCCAGGGCTTAGAAGCTACTCCTAATCCTTCTTTCTAAAAAAAAAAGGGTAAGGGTCTCTGGAATCAACATGTTGCTCCTTCACTTGTCACGCAGCCTTCACAAGCCACGACACCTCCCTAGCCTCAGTTTCCTCACGGAGCTGTTACAAGCGTTCCCGAGGTAACCCAATGTCACAACCCAACACTTACTGGGGACTGAGCAATGCTCTTTCTGCCTGCGACTTGTCCCCAGCAGTGAGAGTTGGGGCCAGCTGTGCCGTGTGACCACCAACACACCAAGCAGCAGCGACTCACTGTGGCTAAGGGCACAGGGGAGGAGCCGGACTGCCTGGGCTCCAACACTAACACTGCCAGGCATGCATGCACTTTTGTGTGCACATACACGTACAAGTGTCTTCCCCGGGGGTGACCAAAAATGCAGTGAATGCTGCTGCTAAGTGCCCTCCAACAGGAACCAGGCTTGTAAAAAATGTGACAGTGCGTCCTCATCCACCTTATCCGCTGAACCTAGCACCATGCAAGCTCTGGCTCTTCCTCAAAGTCAAAATGACCATCCGTGGAAACGGTCTGAATGAGTTCCCGACACTTTCAGAACTGCTTCAGAAAATGGGATAAGTGTGTACCAAAGCTAGGAGATACTGAGGGGGATTAAAGGCAGTGTGTTTTTTAATGTAATCATTTTTTTAGTTTAACCACTCAACATATTTTTTGATCAGACCATGCATACACATTCTTGATTCCCACCCTTTATGCAGGGACCTGGTGACCACATTCTCCCACAGACTTCCTCCCACACCAAATCCTGGTCCATGTAGCATTGCTCCTTCTCAGGCAGCTGGGCCACCAGCCCCCAGTCTTTTATCCCCAATCCTTGGGCACAGTGCTGCATTCAGCAGTGCAATGGGACCAGGGCAGGTCAGCGTGCAGCCCCTTCCTCCTTACCACAGCGAAGGCCAGCCGCATGGGCCTGGAGTTGTAGATGATGTATCTCCTCACTTGTGGCTCCAACAGGGTGCTCTCAGCCAGGCTCCTGTACTGGTCGGCAGGGAGCTGCACGACCAGCCAAGGGAAAGGGATCCATCAGCCACGGGAGAACCACCCCCAGCACCCTCCAGCCAGCAAGCACATCATGCCCAGCTCCTGCGACGGTCCCATGGAAGCGAGGTTAGGCACACCCAGGGTGGAAATCCCAGGAACGGCATCGCACAGAAGGGACAACCTGGGATGCAGGAGGACATCTGCAGATGGTCTCTGTACCCTGAGATCAGCACCGTGTAGCAAGCACAGGGCAGCCGGATGGTTAAGGCACAGGCCCTGCAGTCAGATGGCCCTGAGCCCAAACTCTGGCTATGCTGCTTACAAGTATGTGCCGTGCGACCTAAAGCAAGTTTTCCCCTTCTCCACACATCAGTGTCCTCCTCTATAAAATGGGGGGCGGGGGTGTTGGATTTGGGTACATACAAAATAAATTCATACATAAACACTGCTTGGCACAGTGCTGGCTGCATGGTGAACCCAGGACAGGCAGTGCTACCACCCATGTGGCAAAAAGGGGCATCTATTGATACAGTCTGAAGCACCTATTCATCTTTCCGCTCCAAACCTCAAAGGCCCCAGGAAAGCAGACGAGGAACACAGACTGAGAATTAACAGACCTAAGATTTTATTTAGTAAGATAGAGCTGGGCATGGAGGTAATCCAAGCACTTGGGAGGCTGTAGCAGGATGATTTCCATGAATTCAAGGCCAGCCTAAGGTACACAGTGAGGCTTTATCTCAAAAATAAATAAGTAAAGGAACATGGTAGAACAGCATACTTGTTCACAGGCAGGCAAACCTAATCTGAAAACAGCTGCTTAAGGGAAATGCTCTTTTGCACAAAGGCAGAAAGGAAAGAGAAAGGGAAAAGCCAGCTGTGCTCATAGCACTGTGCATCTGGAAAACGTTCTTTTCATGGTGACAAAAATGTTATAAGCAAAAATGCAGCTCAGTTTTAAAGAAGGAGCCTGGGCAGGGCGGCACACATCTGTAACCCGACACTCTGGGAGGCTGAGGCAGGAGGATCACAAGTTCGAGACCAGCCTGAGAAACTTAGTGATTCAGTGAGATGCTGTCTCAAAATTTAAAAAAATAAACAAATAAAAAGTGCCAAAGATGTATTCAGGGACAAGGCCCTAGGTTCAGTCCCATGTACTGAAAACAAAAAAAGCTGCAAATTCTCAAATCTTCAGGCCAAAATGAGAAGTGTTTCCACAATGACCAATTGCCCTTGGCTTACACAGGGAAAGCTTCACCATGCCAGGGCTTTAGGAAGAGAGGAGACCACACCTAGGTCATCTCACACCAACAGAAAGAACTATGATTCTCAGGGCACGGTACATTCACACGTAATGCCAGCACTCAGGAAGCTGAGGCAGGAGGATTGCTGTGAGTTCAAGGACAGCCTGGGCTACATGGTGAGTCCAAGGCCAGCATGAACTACACATGAAGACCCTGTCTCCAAACAAAAAAGAATTATGACTCACTCATAAGCACTTGCTATGTTCCAAGGACAGTCCCTCGAGCATTACCTATTCAATCCTAACAGCAACTCCACGTAATAGGTCCTAACAACACTGTCCTCACTTGCAGGTGATGAGACAGAGGCTCAGGAAGGGCAACTCAACCTGCTCAAAGTCAAACTGAGCCTGCACTGGGATGCAAGGGTATGTGAAGTGTGGGCCTGGTTTCCCTGCACGGGAAGGAACTGGATTGTGAGGTGCTGAATTCAAGAGCGATGTCCTTTGCAAATGCAGACTGCAAGTCCCTCTCCTGAATGTCCCTCCTCCTGCCCCCCAGCACGCTCCTATTTATTCTTCAAGACTTCACAGCAAGCCCGCTCCTCTGTGAGGCGTTCATAACCACTCACCTGCAAGCAATTTTATCATTTTCTCCTGGAAATGTCTTCAATACCCTGCACACTCCTCCACTGTGGCGTTTATGTCATGCTGTCCTGATTTATCCAACACGTGTCCATTCCCCGCTGGGCTCTGTGAGCAGCAGGAACGTGGGCACTGTGTCCCGTTCACCTCTACACCGATCAGGCAGCTAAGCATCTGGCAGAGTGGGCAGCCCAAAGCACACAGGTGCTAAGTGGATGAACTGGGAAGTCAGGGCAGCTCGAGCACGCGCAAGCACAAAGGGCTCAGGAAACGTCTGAGTAACTGGATGGCTGGAAGGAGGGATGGACGAAGGGATGGATGGGTGGTCAGGTAGATAGCAGAAACTCCATGAAAGCAGCACTCACCTGAATGCCCCAGGCCTGCAGCTGCTCTTCTGCGGCTCCCAGGTCAAAGGAGATGGGTGCACAGGTATTGTCAACTCGGAGGACTGAGAGGACCTGGCCATTGTGCAGCTCTGAAAGCAGACCAGAGTTTCAGCTGGTGGAGTGGGAGCCACTCTGGATGGCGACGCCATTCCTCAAGCTACGAAGACCTTCTTGGGACAAGGGGGCACATAATGGTTGTCCTTGGGTCCCTAAGGACAGAATTTGACTAGGAAGCCCCAAGGAGGTAGAACTGAGGCAGCGCAAGAAGGCTCCTTGGATACAGTGTGAGACCTAGAAGAACTTCCGAAGACTGGAAACTTCCCCACAAGAATGGCAGTAGTGAGTTTCCCATCGCAAGGGACGTGGCAACAGAGGCTGAATCCCTAACTGCACCAAGGGCCTGCTACAGCAGACATTTATTCAAGCACTACAAAAGAAGTGCGACTTCTTAACTTAAATTCCCAGTAGCTTCCGAGTCTGAGACAACTAGTTATGGTATAGCAGTGGCTTCCCAAGATGTCCACACCCCACTCTCTAGAGCCGGAGGATATGCTGCCTTCCATGGCAATGGGGAACTAAGGGTGCACAAAGCAGGAAGGTCACAGAACAGCACATCCTAGATCACCCAGGTGGACCCAGTATCGCCCCAGGGGAAGAGAGGTGGAAGCAGAGTCAGGGGGAGATGTGACTGGCAAGAAAGGCCCAGAAAGATGCACTGCTGCCGGCTTTGACCAGGGAAGAAGGGAGCACAAGCCAAGGAATGCAGGCAGCCTCTGGGAGCTAGGAAAGGACAGAAAAATGAGTTCCCAACAGAGCCTCTAATAAGAAGCACAGACCCGCCGACTCCCTGATGTCAGCTCAGTGAGACCCATGTCAGACTTCTGATCTGAGAACTGCAAAGAAATACACTGGTGGTTTTTAGCCACTACGGGAGCCAAACTGCTGGTCATTTTGTTACAGCGACAACTGCAAACTAATACACTGACCCGCCCTGTCGTAACAGAATGGACCACAAACTGGGTAAATCATGCACCACAGAAGTTTATTTGGCCCATAGTTCTACATGCATGAAATCTAAAATTAAAGTGTCAGCATCTGGTGAGGGCCTCGGGGCCACATCACAACACAGCAGAAGGACAAGTGAGCATGTGCCAGAGAGAGGAAAACTGGGCTGAATGCGACCTTTTTAATCAGCCACCGCTCCTGGGATAAATAACCCACTCCACACTGATGACGTCACTCCACCCCAGGGGCGGGGCCGTCCTCACCTCTTCAAGGCCCCACCTCGACACTCAGACGGTAGCCATGGAGCTCCTGCCTGAGTGTGGGAGGGGACACTCGAAACACCCCCAGTACACCTTCAGCACACATAACACCTGAGGTCCCTCAAAAACACAGCCAGGCTGGTCACGAGAGCTACCAAGACACTCGCCTACGGTGGAGAGGAGGCCGGCTGGAGAGAGAGGCCTGGGATGAAATCCCGAGCCCCTCTCCTGCTTCAGCCCCTGGACCAAAACATCGGGCTCTCCTCCCCTCACGTCCGAGTCTGAGTGAGCCATGGTCAGCAGACACAGAGTCCTGGGTGTCCCAGCCCCCAGACACCAGGACCCCAGCACTGGGCACGCATGGCTGAGGATGCATGCTCAGCGGCATCTGTGGCCACTGCCTGCATAATGAGACGGAATGAACCATAAACAGATTCCCTGCTGGCCCAAAGCTCCTGTCTCTTCAGCCAAGCTCCAGTCGCACTGGACACTCAAATCCAAGTGACTGGCTCCACCTCCCCGGGGTCCCTGGCCCTCCAAACACAATCCTTCCCCTGCCTTACTCAGTCCATCCCTGAGCCCTGCTATCCGGGCCAGCGATGGCCAACTCCACACAGCTGCTAGTCCTCAAGGCTCCCTTCACCTCTTCAGTAGGTTTCTCCACACCTGCTCTTTCTCCTACAATGCATTCCCACATAGCAGCCACAGCACAAATCATAAGACACCAATCCCTCAAGGAAAACTTTCTCTAGCTCCTCTGAGCTCTGCTGACAAAAACCATTCTTACGATGCTAAAAGGAGACTGAGCTTTCTGCCAGATTTCCCTTGAGCCACACCCATCGCTTTTGCCTCTTGAACATATATTGTTCTCTCCCACCCCAGGACCTTTTGCATGTGCTTTCCCTCTCCCTAGAACACTTCCACATAGCTTCATCTGGTTAAATCCTGCACATGATTTACATAGTAGCTCACTGATCACTTTTCCCAGGGAACCCTCAGCGACATTCTCAACTCTTAGAAGATCAAATCCTACAACCTACCCACAACTGCCTACTCTTCTCCTTCACAGGCATCAGAGATGAATACGTACGCATGCAATTATTCCATTATATACATATGCAATGCCTTGGTTAAGGCATCTTCCTTCCCCATCAGACTACACACTTTCATATTGGACAGTTCATCACTGAATCCCCAGAGCTGGCTTCAGTGTGTACCACACATGTCTGACGCATAAATAAATTAATACGAAAGGCCTTGGCTCCTCAGTCCTGATAGGATTTTTGTTTGGTTGGTTTGGTATTTTGAGACAAGGTCTCGCTATGTAATCCAGGCTGGCCTCGAAGTCATCCAGGCTGGCCTCGATCTCACGACCTACCAATCTCAGTCACCTGAAGGCTAGAATTACAGGCGTGTGCCATGACACTGGCTGGTGGGGTTCTTTACAGGTTCCATAAAATTCAAACTTCTGCATCTTGTCAAAAGGAACTGTATATTTTCCCGCTCTCTCTCCTTTCCCCCATCTCTTTTTGGGAGGGATGACGGATGTGGAGAAAGCACAGCCAGACAGCCTTGGGCTGTGCAATCATAGCCCAGCCTGTCCCTAATGCTTTAAACTTGAAGAAGTGATTTAAATCCCTGGCTGCCTGCTCCCTTAGAGGTCACTCACAGCCCCTGCAGAAGATATTACCAATCATCCGTAAGATCCTAAAACGGGTGCCGAATTACTGGCCCCGCTGTCCTCACAATTTAAAAGCAAGCTGGTGAGGACCCAAAAGTTATGAGACCAGCATGGACTTATTTGCATTTGATTTTTTTACCATCCCATACCGCTCCAGAAAGGATCAAAAGTGGCATCATAAAAATAAAATATAAAAAGATAAAGATGAAATTCCAGAACACACAAGTAAAGAAGCCTGGACAACAGGAAAATAAAGGCAGATAACAAGAACAGGTCCTGGGCCTGGGAGCCTAACTCTGCACAAGGCCCGGGGCCAAAGCTTCACCCCAACTTCACTGACTCCACCGAGACCCCTCACATGGAAATGGGGTGCTGTCTCGGCCTGGCTCCTGCTGCACCGCACAGAGCGAAGCCCCACAGGGGTCTGGTCTCCTCTGCCCAGCAGGTGTTTGCCAGAACACTGTGTTTTTGTTCACCTTTCAAATCAAGAGCTCTGGATTCTCAGCAACACTATTTCTCCTCTGTTCTTTAAAAGGAGACTAACAAGTCCTCCACACAGAAACAGTTGTTTTTACACCTGGGTTAAGAAAAGCTACCAAAGGAAAATACAGGAGTGTGCCCACACATCTATGTAGGCAGCACAGCACGATTTCCTACAAAGGAGCAGGAACCGGCTTGCCAAAAATCAGTAGAGCAGAGGCTTTGAAGTCCAGAGGTAAACCACTTCACTCCCTTCCGTCCCACTGCTGGATGTGTGTGTACAAACTGCTCTCCTCTAGGTAACCAGACACTTTCCTGAGGACACCCCACAATTCAGTGCTGCCTCCCCCTGCCTATACCAGGCACTGTTCATTCATTCATATAGTCAACAAAATACTTGCTCAGCATCTGAGCTGCTGCTGCAGATACACAGGCAGGCACAGCACGGCACAGCACCCCTGCCCTCCTGAAGCTTACATTCTGTATTTTAATGGTGCTGGGATGTAATCTATGGACTCCCAAATGCTAGGCAACTACTTTACAACTAAGCTGTGTCCCTAGCCCTGAAACTTACATTCTAGTTGGGGGACCAGAGAGTCAACATTTATTACACAGACAACTATTTCCAGGCCATAGTAAGTACTTTTGGCAGAAATAGGAATGTCAGAGGGTCTTGACTTAATTGAGACATCGAAGTTCCCCACAGAAGGAATATTTGAACAGGACTCAGAAGGATGAAGAGAAATTAAACAAAGGAAATACAGTGGGCAAAACATACTAGGCAGAAGAAACAGCATATACAAAAGCCCTGTGGCCGAACAGCAGGCAAACAACAGAGGAAGGGCAGGAGCCACTGAGGCAGGCCTTACAACATGGTGAATGACAGATTTTCACGCTAAGCCCAAAGGGAGACACTGAACTGAAAGAAACATGGCTGGATGTGCATTTGAGAAACATCTCTCCCGCTGCCATGGAGAGAGAGAGGAGGAATGACGGCCAGCCAGGAAGCACAAGCCAAGCACAGGGTGATGATGGAAGGCAGGGACACAGAGAACCAGGGAGAAATGGAAGAAAGTGGCCCAGAAGTGATTCTGAAGCCCCCCACCCTCATCTAAAGGCCTCTTTATGCCCCTCCTCTGCCCCCAAGCATGCAACTGGAGTCCAGGACAGCGCGAGACACAGAGGGAAAGGGAGAAAGAAAGGCCATGACCGTACCTTGTCCCCACCTCGGAGGGCTCCCCCCAGGCAGGGCACTCCAACCAGGGGTGGCGGTGGGCAGCGGGCTGGCTGCCCCGCCAGGGTCCATCTGCGGCTCACAGGCCATGGCAGAGAGCCAGGCGGATTCTATTTCTCCTTCCTGGAGTTGTGGTTCATGCTGGAGTGGCCAGCTCGGCTCCACTGCCCTTCAGAAAACAACACAAAAAGGAACTTCAGGGCCTGGGCAGGCTGGGCTTCCTAGAGCTGAGGCCAGAGTCACAAAAGGCCAAGGTCTTTGCGCTGACTTTGGTTTTTGTGGCCAGGCTGAGGAAATTACTTAGAGGGAGAAGGAGAGGAGGAACTAACCTGCCCAGGCCTCAACTGAGAACTTCCCTTCTGGACTTAGATCTTCTCTAGGTCAGCGACGCCAGAGACTCACAGGTCCCTCAAAGGCTGACCAGGTCCCACCCCCAGAGCTCTGGGGCTTCAGTTCCCTTTCTGAGGATGCCCCAGGTACCCAGGCAGGAGACAGGCATAGATATTACAGGAACCTTGTTTACCCACAAGATCTCAAGAAGCTTCCCACAGACACTGCAAACTACACAAGAAAAACATCAGAGGGTGGGAAACATAAATTAGGAAAAAAATGACTACCATGAAAAACAAAAATACCCAGACAGTCAGGCAATCAGGCTCCCTAGCCACCTAGCTGAGATGGTGGGAGTTTATGTTTAAGAATAATGGACTCCAGAGTCCAATCCCAGCCCCATTACTAGTTATGGAAACTTAGGTACGCGGTTTAACCTCAGAGCTCCACCTCTTCAAATCAAAGAACATTCCTCACAAGGACTCTGCGAAAAATGCGTACAACTACATACAAAGGACTCAGAGCAAGGCCAGGGGTCGGAAGGGGCGTCCTTCCTTATTTTTACTGAAACCAGAGATAAAATCTGAAGTCCTTGCTCCACCCTCCACACCGGGGATGCGCATCGGCTGGGAAAGATGGGCTCACAGAAAATTACCAGAAAGACAAGGACCAGACAAGGCCATAAGAAGGAGCACCCAGGGGCGGTAGACAGGTTCTGCCGCTTCCTTAGAGAAGAGGAGGCTTCTGAGCTTGACAAAGACGTAAGAGAAGCCAGTGCCAAGAAATCACAAGGTTCAGATCAAAAGCCAAGATGGGCTCATCGGGACAGCTGGGACTGTGCCCGGGGTCCCCCCTTTGTCTATGCACCCACCTTGCAGCCAGCCCCTCCTCCAATCCAAAGGAGGCAGGTGATAGGAGGGGCGATGGCAAGACCCCAAGGGCAGCTATCACCCTCTACTTGTCCAGGGCCCATCCTGCTCAGCCTACTCCAGCGCTGCAGCGGCACAGAGAGAGCGCCAGACCCCAGTGTACAAACAGGCAAAGCAGAGCGCAGAGCGGAGTCCTGAAACTCCCGCCACTAACTGGGTCCAGTCCAAACTTCCGAGCTCCTCTGGGGAGTCTGCGCTTTAACCCAACCTCCCAGTCCTCCGCCTCCCTACACAGGCTCAACTCCCCAGAGGTTTTCCACTGACTCTGGCTCCCCAGCCTCCCAGGCAACTATGTGCCTGCCTGAGATTCCTCATAGGAAAAGAGAAACTACAGTCTTCCTGCCCAGCCTGGCTCCCTTTTGCTTTTTAAACTGGTAATCCAACAAGAGATCATAAGAGGACCTGTCACCAAAGTTTGCGGTGGAAAAACCTACAGAGACAAAGAGTCCAACACCCCATCCTACAGATGTGCACATTAAGGGCCAAAACACAAAGTGAACTACTCAAGATCAAGGCGCCACCAGAGCGAGCCAGAACTGAAACCCCGGCTCCCGAGGGTAGAGGTGTCCCACTGGCTCTTGCCTCAGTCTCCACCACCCCCACACCCGGTCTTGTGCAGGTCGGCTGCCTGGGACAGGGGAGGAGCGGTCTCCTTCACCCCGGAAATCGCCCCCG